CCTTTCCAGGGATGGAGGTGAGGCTGACAGGCCTGTAGTTTCCTGGCTCCTCCCTCCTCCTCTTGCCCTTTTGGAAGACTGGAGTGACAGTGGCTTTCTTCTGGTCCTCAGGCACCTCTCCTGTTCTCCAGGACCTTTCCAAGATGATGGAGAGTGGCCTAGCGATAACATCCGCCAGCTCCCTCAGCACTCGTGGGTGCATCCCGTCAGGGCCCATGGATTTGTGGATGTCAGGTTTGCCCAAATGATCTCTAACCCGATCCTCCTCGACCAAGGCAGAGTCTTCCTTTCTCCAGACTTGCTCTCTTGTCCCCAAGGTCTGGAATTCCTGAGGGCTGGCCTTAGCAGTGAAGACTGAAGCAAAGGCGGCATTCAGCAACTCTGCCTTCTCTGTATCCTTCGTCACCAGGGCACCCGCCCCATTCAGCAGTGGGGCCCTCGTCCTCCTTTTGCTGTTGATGTATTTGTAGAAGCCCTTCTTGTTGTCCTTGACATCCCTTGCCAGATTTAATTCCAAATGGGCCTTAGCCTTCCTCATCATATCCCTGCATACTCTGTCAGTGTCTGTATATTCCTTCCGAGTGGCCTGTCCCCTTTTCCACATTCTGTGTACTTTTCTTCTGTTGGAGTGAGTGTAGCAGATAGCTCGTAGTGATGCTGTGAACAGTTAAGACATAGAGGTCTTCTTTCTCCACTGCAATTTCTGGTTGATTAACAGTCAGGTTATACCAGAAATTTATACAGGTAGTTATTAGGTACATAACCTTATACATCTGTACATTTCATCCGTTTGTAATGTTCTCAGTCTTCAAGTTTCTCTGACTTTTCCTTTGCAGTGTTACACGCTCTTTAAGTATTCATAATGCTTCTCAGTGATGTATAGTCAGCAAATGTTAGCATGCTGCTACCTTTAATTAACAAGTAATGAGCATTTTGAATAAATATTATTCATGGAACTCCAACAGTAATCTCTACTCAACCCAATATCATCCCTTTATGCATTACCTGCTTTTGTTACCCTTTCACCCAATTTCTTACCTACCTCCAAATTTTTATGCAATCTTCATTTTCTCTAATTTCAGTTCCTTAGGTAGCTCCATGTCAAATCCTCTGGTAATCCCTTACACATTCAGAAAATGTGTTATCTTTGAGAAAAAAGATATGGGTTAACAGACATTACCTACATTTATACTCTATATCTTTAATTACTCCTAATCCTTTCAATTTTTTTCCCCTTCTTTTCTGCTGAGGTCCAGTTAAAGGACCTATTATTGAATACTGAATCACTTTTTCCTCCTCGTTGTATGTAAATGAGTATTTTGCTATTCTGCAGCAATATGGTCCCTACGTTTGCCAGGTCTTGCTCCTGGACTTATGATTTCTGAAGTAGTCTCCCAGCTTTAGCATACTGAGTTTTACTTCTACCATGAATCCAGTGATTTCCATTCTCTTCTCTGCCGCTGTGTTTAACCTTTTCATCTTTATTGAAAACATTTAACTGAGGTGAAGGATTTACTTCATTTTGCAGCTATACCTAGGTTAGGTTTAATATCTGACCAATCCTTTACTGCATAGCAGCCTTGCTTTGCCTTTTCTGATTCCCTTTTTGTTTCTATGGCTAAACAGCCTTGAAAACTGTTTGTTTTAATTTCTTGTCTAAGATCTAACTCAGCTTGACTTTTTGGCAGCTCTCACTTTATCCCTATATTACCTGACCCCTGAAACAAATCTCTTTTTTTGTCAAACTTTTTTCCCCTTTCATTGTAGGCTTTCTGCTCACTTCTAATATATTATTTTTTCTTTTTTCTTGGGGGGGATGTGTTTCTTGTGTGTGTGAGCGTGTATAGGGGGAGAATTCATCCAGTTTAGTCTGAGACACCCTTTCCTAGAAGGCTTTTCACCTTATTTGAAGTAAAACATCCAAAAACACTTTTTCCATCTTTTTCTTTTGCATTCCAAGGATCCTCTTCACACATCAAGTCCTTTGCTTTGGCTTTGAGAAGTAAGGAAAACGGTTTGCAAGGTCTGATCCTCTGGACTGAGGAGCCCTACTTTTGATTATCCTTTTCATTTAATTTAAACTGAGGCATCCTATTTCTGCTGAAACTAGGTTACTTACTGGAATGACCTTTTCTGCAATGTCCCTGCTACTTACCAAAACCAAGTCTAAAATAACATCATTTCTGGCTGGTTCAGTGACTGTTTTTTTAAGCAGTGTGTCAGCTAGCACATGCAGGAATAATTGGGCCCTACTGTTATTAATAGCATTTGTTCTGCAATGTATATCCATGGATATAAGTTATTTCCATGTGGTTGGATAGTTGTTCTGGCTGTGCAGTTACTTGGCCCTTTGATTCTGTTAAGAATTATCTTTATGTATTGTAAGAAATATTAAACACACATCAGGAGCCAACTGATATTCATTAGCCATATAAGCATGTTACAACTATATTAAACTACATGTGATGTGCATTACATATTATGTATGAATAGCTTTTATACCATTGGGATAGTTCTGAGAATCTATTTTTAAAAATAGTTTTATTTCAGCAGTTTGGTTACAGAGGAAATGAGGCTTAGAACTATGTTCAGTTGTTGGGTAGTGAAATCTTTCTGAGGATCCCATTAATTTCCAGAGGACTGACCAGGGTGTGCATGATGCATTTGTGTTCAAGTCTTTGCAGCTCCAGAGCTTAAAACACTCCTTTATTTCACAAGCTCAGTGGAGCAAGGCAGACTTGTTCTCTGAAATGTGTAGTCTCCTTCAGATCTTTTTTTTTATTCACTTGCATTTAAATTTCTCTTAATGAAGGCAAGGTGTATTCACAGGCACAGTATATGATTATTACAAATAAAGAAGGATCCAACATGTACTTCTGATTACAGGAAAGAAACTACCTGTTCAGAAATAATGTTAAAATACATTTTGAAGGGAGGAGAGATTTAGAAACTTTAATGCTCAGCATAAAAGCTACAACAGATTCTGTCTTGTGTACTACAAGGGTCAGCTGGGTATAGTCTGGACTTTGTGATTTAATGATTAAATCAAAAGTACATGTTATACTTAATCTTTGTATTAGTTGTAAGACATTGATCTTGTGTTGTAATCATTGTACTGTCCAGCTTTTCAGCATAGGGAATCTGGCCCTTGGCAGATCATAACAGGATATGTAGGATTTGCTACAACTAAACACCAAACGCTCTGCTGAAATGCAAATGTTTTATCGTAAGATTTAAAAACTTGTTTATCAGATTCCAGAAAGAGGAGAATAGTCGTTATTCATTAGGTTGTCATTTGAAAATGTAATCACAGTGAAGTAAACAGCCTCCCAAAGAAGCTGATCCAGATCCCATTGAAATCAAAAGAAAAGGCTGCTGCTGGATCTGGTTCTGAGAGCTGAGAAATCTAAGCTGCAGACCTGGCTTCTGTGCCAAAGAGAGAGAGAGAGGAATAGAGGGAGGGAGGGAGAGGGAGAGATCAGAAGTGCCATAAACAAAATGAATATAACAGGATCTTAAAATGGTATGGTACCATCCAAGTTGCTTGCAAAATCACTCTCTCTGGCACAAAAACTAGGAAGGCCACAGCTTAGATTTCACAGGATATTAAGGACAGGGTAGTAATATCAGATCTATAATAATAATATAGCGTTGTAAAATACTATGTACTTTTTTTTTCCTTTTTGGAAACATACCAGAAATTTTTCACCTTTAAACTAAACACATGCTCACAGTTTATGGAAAGAAATATTCATTCTTATGGCCTGATCATGTGAAGTGCAGAGAACCCTTAACTTCCATTACTGCTGAATTTAGAAGGCACCCAATACATGCAGAGTCAAGCTTCTTAATATACTGTTGAATTCAAGTGATAGAGCCATCAGTAGATCTGCGCCAGTGTTTCGTTGTTGCTGAACTGTAGAAACTGATTACTCTGAGAGGTTGTGCACAAACAGATAGAGACTAGATGATGATCCACTGATGTTGGCAGATAGCAATAACACTGGAGTTGCTGGTCCTTCATGGTTGCATGAGACCATGGGGCCCTGAGTGTAGCTTCCCTGGCTGTTAGACAGTAACTTCCGACACCTGCTCCACAAAGGTTCTCTACATAGACTTTGAAACCAAAGTCAAAACCATGGAAGTAGAAAACTGGATTGAATTGATTTCTGTAAGTCATTCCTCAGGAAGCTAAAAAGAAGAAAATACCTCCCACAACATTAAATAATCTCTTCTAAATACTGCAGAGATGCTATATGTTCATGCCTAAAGAAGACAATTATGAGACGAGATCTACTGCTGTTACTGCGTATTCTTCAGATGGTTCCAAGCCCTGTTTTGGTGCTATGGTTACATTATAAAACCAGAACTTTAAACTTCCTTGCGTGTACATCATAACAGTGGTTGACAGAGCAACTTCATCATTCTTAACGTTTCAGAAAAGGAAATTATCAGATGTCCCTGTGGAAGCAGAAGACGACTATACTAAGTTTAATAGCAGCAATCTGAAAAACAAAAAGGTAAGCAAGCCTTGCGCTCATGCATGTTTTGCTAACGCATAGATTAGTACCCAGTAGCTGCACGTGGTCCCTTCTTTTCTCCTCCAAGCGTGTCGGAAAAACAAATAGAAAATGGCCGATATCTGCAGCTGTATTCAACCTGGCTCTGACTCAGGACAATAAGCTTCACTTTTTACATGACTTCACCTCAACAAAGCCAGCTCTTCTGAACCAGTGTTTTGAAACATTTGGTGGTGAACAATTTAAGAGATATCTTAAGACTAGAAAACGGTAACATTTCCCTGCCTCTGTTCGAGATATGGTTTTTGATACTGGTTTCAGAGTGCTGAGAGAAACACAGAACTGGCAATATAATCTCCTTGAACTTTTCTTTCAGTTTTACTTGGACCTTGATACTCTTAATGTCTCACTCTAAACTCCTCTATGCTGTCACTGTTTGACTATATTTTATCAGTGAAACTTCTACTGACCCTCAGAGATTAATAGATGTGTTAAGGTGCTCAGCTAATGTTTGCAAAACCCTGAGCTCTCTAGGTGAGAAATCCCATGGCTTAGTGGTAGCAACTGTTAAATTTCAGTTATTTGAAAAAGAAACAGAGATGGCAGCATTCACTTAAGTTTTAAGACAGGGCTTATTTTTACCAGAAATGTTGCTTATGCACTTATTTATGTCAATTTAATGAAGTTAAATCAACACAGAGCTTGCTGATTGCCAACTTCAACGCAAGTTTTGAGGCCAATTCAAGTCTGAGTCCAGTAGTGTCTGCCACTGTACCATTCCTAGGGGAGCAACAGAGATGCGAAAAGAAATAGAGTCTGTCTGTGTGTGCCAAGCTTGTGAGGCTTTCACTGGGTTGTTTCTCTGAACACTGACGGAAAAGAAATCCTTCTCCAGTCTACTGGGAACCAAAAAGGTCCTCTGTGCTGTTCTTGTGACCTTCAGATTAATGCTGACTACTCTTTATTCCTTTACAAAGAGCAGCAGCTGGTGATAGATGCGTTCCTTCCCTTCCCCACTATCCCCACAGACTTTTCTGTATTTGGGGCACACGCTAGTTTTGAAGCGAGAAAAGGATTGCCCCCTAAACAAGGTGATAAATAATTTAAAATATGCATATTTTCTCCCCATAAGGTTCTATAGCTTTTGATCTGAGCATAAAGATAGAACAAGACTGATGAGAGGTAATTCACTTTAACATTAAATATGATTTACTTGTAAAATAATGAAGCACGTTGATGAGAGAATCTGGGAGAGAAAAGACAGCTCTTGGATTCTGTACAGTATACCACTCTTTTTTAAAAACTTTGGCAATGTTTTTGTTTGTACAGTAACACAGACGATTATACTGTAGTTGCATATCTCCATCCTATCCAGAACCTTCTAGCTGATCCCAAGTAGTGGAATTGTGAAGTCCTACAGTCTGAGATGTATCATAGGAAAAGGTCAAGGCAAAGATTTCTTAATAGGGAAAGCAGCTAGAGATTTAAAACATAACATTTCAAAATGTAAGAAAGAAAAGAGGTCAGCTCTATAAAACGTGGCTTATAAAATGTGTTTTAGGTGTCTGGGAAGTTATCCCAGTGGCCTCAAAATGCTTTGCAAGTGTTGGTTACCTTCTTCCATCTTAGTTCTTCCGTCTCTTTTCCCTTTATTTCACTGTACGGGGAGATTTTCATAATAATTCAGTGTGAATTATTCATCATCTCTAATGCAAGGCTGTAATTCATTCTGCTGACAGCATAATCATGAGATTGAGTCGGAGGGTACAGTATGCATCTGTTATATTGCATGCATTATTCCTCTTAATGTACACTCAGGGATTATTCCAAAGTAAATGTTTGAGTCAGGATACCACATTCTGCAGAAGGGGAAGATGCTTCACCTCCTTGTCCTTGTAATTGATTCTCTATCTTTGTCCGAGGTTAAGTAATTCATGACAAGTATTTTTCTGTTTGAATAATCTCAAATTAGTTTTGTAAGGTTTCTCCCTTACCATTTCTATCCTGCATAACATTATCTTTACTCCCGCATGCTAAAAAAGCAATTCAACTTCTTACTTGACTTCCATACCTAAGATTTGATAGCTTACACCCCACTCCTATAGAGATGCTGCTTAACTTTCTCTGTTTTTCATTTCACTAACAGGCAAACAGCAAGATGTCTGCAGCTCAGAAGGCTCTGGCCAAAGTTGATAAGAGTGGAATGAAATCCATTTCTACTTTCTTTAGCGCCAAACCTAAAGCATCAAAATAAAGGCTTGTTCCTGAAGCAGTTTTATACAGTTTTTTTTTTTTTTTTATACATTAAACTAAAGATGTCCTTTGGGGCTTTTTTTGTTTTTAGTATATTTAGAGCAAGCATGTCTGCATATACAGTGGAGTGTGGTGAAGAGATCTGTGAGCTAGTGTGGGCAGAGCTGTTAAGTTTCGCTGGTGCAAGGCAGTGCCATACAGAGATCCAGCCTGGGTCTGGAAGGCAGCGTAGCTGCATTAGAGTGTCCTGCATGCTGAGAGTCAGGGCTTAGCATGGCACCATACAGTGCGGCTGTACTTCTTATTCCAGAGCAAGCTTAGTCAAGGCTACCACAGAGTTTTCTCCATGCACTCCATTCTGTGCTGGAAACATGCCTTTCACTGCCATATGTTTTAGAGGAGAGTTTTTTGATTCATTAGGAGCATTATTTTTTGAGACTGTTATACCAAGTGTCACACCAGAGTAGGATGGCATCTTCAGATTTCTATGTGGACCTAAATCTAAATGCTGATATAAGCATTGCCATTGGTTGCAATTTATCCAGGCAAAGAGAGTGCCTGTATTGAGGTTTTGGTTTTGATTTTGCCAGAAACAAATTGCAATAAGTGTCAGTGTGAATGTAATACAATAAACTGCTTTATGTAACAAATTTGTGCATGTTGTGCTTCCTGTACGTTTCTAGAGTTCAGTTAGGCTTCAGGACATTAGCTATGGGCTTTTGGTATTTCCCTGTGCATAAATCTTTAATCCTTGAAGACTTAACAATATCACTGTAGTCTTATGTGATAAATCTTTTAACGCATAGCAATATAGGGGTATTTTTTATGTTTAGTTCCAAGGTCCATAGGTCCTTACAAAAATAATTAGAAGAAGATTTATTTAAAGATGAAGCTGAGAGTCTTGAAGAAGCCTATTTGGAGCTGGATGCATGGTTCAGAAGCTTAAACATGGATGTCTTAAGACAAGGTTTAGCTTTAGGAAGACTTTCACAAGGTAGGATCATTATTTAAATGATATTTAAATTTTTTTATTTAAAAAGCACTACTCACTCCTGGGTGTGTTCTTTCCTCATTACAGAGTATTTTTATATAGGTAAGAGGATAGTTATCTGCTATGTTGTAACTTCCCCAATTCACAGAAATGGAAAGGGATGGAGTCACTGGGATCATTTGTATAGTTCTACCCGGTCCTCAACGACACTGGTTCTTAGTTTCATCTAGTAATTCTTTCACTGCGCCATAACTGTGGATGAAATACAATGTGTGTTTTAGAAAGACAGACAATCTTTATATACTTCATTATTTGCTGCTTCAACTCAGTAGAGTGTCTGCTTGTATCCCTTGATAATGGGGACTTCAGAGAAACTAAGAGTTTCTTCATTCTTAGTAAGTATACTCTTTTTCCACTTCAAACTTATTTGTCCTAGTTTACAACCATCAGATTAGAGTGTTTCTCTGCTAGGTTAAAAGAGCTCTGTGGCATTTTCTTCCAACTGTAGATGAATGAAAAGTCATGCTGAGTGTCATACGCTGTTTTGCAGTTGCAGTTTGTTGGGATTTGTATGCCTTCCAAACTAGTGGTTTTTTTCAAAGTTTTGTATGCAGTTTGTAAATAGGGAAGTCAATATGGGTGGAATTTCAGATAGAGAGAAATCTGCTATGAAAACCTCTCTGATTATGGGAAGATTTATTTCACAATTGTGGATGCCCCTTAAAGATACTGGGTCATGTATTCCCAATGAAATTAGACTAAACAGAGAACAAGTGTAGAACTAATGCTCCCAGTTTTAAAAATGTTTGTCTGAAGTGGATTATCTGGACCCAAAATGAAGTTCCTTGTTAAAATGCTTTCGTTCTGAGGAATCATTACTATGTCTTCCTTATCTCTGAAAATCAGCCTATAATATGAAAGTGTTTGAATGTAGATCAAGAAGTCAGTGATTTAGATGCAGAGGTTTTATTGATACTTCAATTCAAATCATTCTCCCAAGTCATTTGGTACTTCAATAAAATTCTCCTCATTCATGATAAATTTTTACAACAATAGAAGAGATGGGAGCAAAAGAGAACAGAAGAACGTGGGAAACGCTATGCAGAGTCACAGAGAAATTCTTGCTATATCGTACTGCCTTGGTCTTCAGCTGTCTTAACCGGAGTTCAGCAGCTCTATCGATAGAATTTCCAACTCTGACGTTAGCTATCAGACAAGTTTAAAAAGTAACGCTAGGTGTCATTGCATGTGACATTTCTCTATGTGCACTACCTTAAGAATTGCCATCTTGCTTTTTTCTGCCTTAACTTGTCTAGGGTGTAAGTGAAGGCCAGCTCTGTAGCCGCATGTATTGCATTAACAAATGGGTCCTTAATATGAATTGGATGGAAAGAGCTAGCTTTTGGTGAGCCCAGAATGAGCAAGTGTGATCATAAGCTAGAAGGATGAGATTTTAAAAAGCATTCAGCCTAATCCAGCAGTTTCCTTTGAAGTCATCTCCTCCCCCTGCCCCAATTCATATCAGCAGGAGCAGGGATACGCCAAAGGTGACAACTTTTGAAAACCGCCACTCAAAGTGCAAGATAATATTATGAGAAAAAAACTAAACTGGGTACATACTGTCATGTTAATAGAGAAATTTTGTGCAGTAAAAAGCATCTTAGGGAGCATTTTGGTCAATGAAAGGAACTGTGTGTCTGTTAATGAAAAAACAATTTCAAGCACTGAAAGATGATGAGAAAGCAAGCAAGCATGGGAATGGAAATGGAATGGAAAACCAAGAATGGAAGATAGTTCCGTTGAATGGAAAACCACTTGAATGGTTCCTTTCCACTTGAATGGAAAACCAAGAATGGGAGATAGTTACACTAGAAACAAAAAACTGAGGTGGGACAGATGCGTGGTGGAAGCTCTTATTCTGGATATTTAAATCTACCAGTTTCAGGCTTTTTGGTTTTAACAATTCAGATATTTTGTGAAATAAATTTTAGAAACATGTCTTGTCATTGAACAGTTTGAGAACATTTCTTCTAGTAAGAAAGGCCTGGTTTCTGTGGTCAGAAGTTAGGACAAAAGGAGGACAATCCTGATAGAGATGGAAGGTCTTTGTTTTGACTTCTGATCTGGGATACCTTTTGTTTTTCTTCTTTTTCTGTACATGACATTCACATCCGTCTCTGCACATGAGTCTAGAGTTCTTCTTTCATGCACAGATGCATTGTGCTTTAGTGTGTCACATCTCAACTTCCAGCTGTCAGCTATGCCATAACTTACAGGAATAGTAATTTTATTAGTGACTGTCTCTGGTTGAGCAGAAGTTTGTGCATGACAAAAAAACACAAGCTATTTCCAAGAGCCATTAGAGCTTTCACATGAAAACAAAAACTCTCTTCCCATTAGGAAAGAATGAAATACATTTAGTGACTTTGAAACTTCCTTAACATGTAGCCGTAAGAAGTTATGAAGAGCATATGGTGCCAAATACATAAAACAATATTTCCTACCACAACGAGGATTTGAATATAGTTGCTGTGACTGGCCAGCAGTAGCAGTAGGTCATTATGAAGTGCTGCTTTGCTAATTCTTGCTTGCTTAGCTTAGTATGAAACAACATGCCAGCACCATTGTAGAAATGTGGTCTTACTTTATTTTTCTGGGATTAACATGTCGTCTCAGATTAACATGTCGTCTCTACATATTCGTGTAAACATCTGATGAGTTGTATTACTTTTATAGTTGTTTGAGGATTAAGCAGCTCTTATATTTGCACTTTTTTAGTCTTCTCATTGCAAAACAATTGACATCACTGGATATGGAAAACTTCATATGGAAATACCAGTATTGACTTGGGGATATTTCAGAGTTGGACTTGCACGTCATTTTCAGTCTTAAGTAATAAACTTATTTCTATCTGTAGAAGTGACAGTTGTTGATTTGAATATTTTCAGTGGAAAAGGTGGTACAACTGGCAAAATTTAGATTCAGATCTGAAAATTAGGAGGGTTCAGTGATTCTTGTTTTCAGGTATTTAATTGTATCTGTCTTTAAGCTTTTTGGAGGGAAACTAAATGTATGGATGCTTATTTGAATAGATTGATGTTTATGCCTAGGGTTTTTTCTTCTCTTTTTAGATGCCTGTGCAAAGACATTCAAAGAAGAAGTGAAAGGAGCCTAAGGAGACTTGCTAGTATTATTTTAACTCGCCATAATCTCAAAGCAGCTTTTAAAGGCTTTTTTAACGCACTTTCTGAAAATAAATGCTTAAAGTTAGGCATGCCCTGTTCCAAGAAAAAGCGAATCTCAGCAGATTAACATTGTTAAATATGCGGTGTGTTAAGCATACACTGCTTTAAATTTTATAGTTAATACACTATTGGTCTATCGGGCCCTTCCAGGAAAGCACTTATGAGCATGCCTAATGTTAAGCACATGAGCAGTGATCTTAAAGTCAGCAACATTGTTCGTGTGGGTAAGTGCTTTGCTGGATCAGCGCCTGAAGTCCTGTTAGGTGCTGAGCATCCTGATCTATATCCAGCAAAGCACTTACGTCCACGCTTATCTTGAAGTGGAAGAGCCAGTCTAGCTAATATTTGTGCATTAGTGTTCTCCATAAAATCTCTCCTGGCACAATGACTCACATGCTTAAAATTAAGCACCTGCCTAAGTATTTCGCAAGGTCAGACCAACAGCATCCTCAAGTCTTAAATAATTACTTGATTTTGTATGAATTTTCTTTGTTGTTTTTGTTGTTTTTTGATGAGCATATGATTTTAGTGGCCATAAATTCAAATTTTAGAAGATACGTAACAAAAAACGTTTTACACAATTTTCCATTTTTTTCAAAATCTAGCCAAAATCAGCAAAATACCTTTTTGGACTGAAATGTCCAAATGTTCAGTCTTAAAATAATCAAAAAAAACCTTTATTTTTTAGGATGTTTCAATTTTTCTGACAAAGCCTATTTCACTGAATTTGATCAGAATAGTTTTGGCGAACCCTGACCTGTTATCCAGAAAAAGTAATCTAGCTCTGACTCTGTGAGCAGTCTGATTCTTGAAGTGCTAAGGTTTGAGCTAGGATATATGTTCGGAAGGGCAGCTCTATAAAAATAGCAGAAAGGATGGAGAAGTTGTTTTTATTTTACTTCATTTTTTAAGAGAGTGATACCTAAACGTGCATAAAATAGTTGTACATTTTGTGTTGAGAATTGGAAGTTTCATTTTTCTTTTTGAGGCCACTAGTGTGTTTATTGGGTTCTTGTTGTCCTGTGTAATCCTGCAGGTAAAAAAAGAGACTTAATTTTACTCTTTTTTTTTTTTTTCTCATGTAAGAGACACTTTCAGTGCAGTGTACTTCAACCAAAATGTCAGCCTGAGACTACATAAAACATACAGGAAATAGATGCTTATGAGATGCTTAACTGCTGTGTGTCATATGCATAGTTTATGTATTTTTAACTTAAATACCTGGTTATCCAACTACCATTAATATCTACATCTTTGTTAAAGGACTTTATTTTAAAGTAATCATTGACGAGATTTTGAACGTAACGAGTGTATATTTCTGTAAACTTTAATTATGACCCCAGTTCACAGACACCTACAGCAAATAGTCAAAATGTTAATGTAAAGCTTAACTGTATTTGAAGCATTCCAGATA